TGCAGGTAAGTAACAGCCGTGGAGTCTTCAACGAGGTAAGTACCCAATCTTGTATCGCACATCACTCTCTCTCTCTCTCTCTCTCTCTCTCTCTCTCTCTCTCTCACTCCGTGTGTCTTGATGTATGCAGGTACACCCTGCTTCGTCGCAGCAGCTATGGCGGACCTTCTTCTTCACCGCGCTATGGTCTTCTTCCTGACGCGGCTACGTACATGGCAGCGGGTACCAGCTCTGATACCCATGAAATCAGTCTTGCAAATTCACACTCAAACATGCATGCAACAGATGAGAATAACTTGGCGCTGTGCACCCAACTCAAACTCGGAGATATGGTAGCTTGCAACTCAACTCAAATCCAAGTTCACTTCAGTTGGCTATGGCGCTGGGCGCCCTCACTTACACGTTCGACTCAAAGTTCACACGCAACTCGACTCCGGATCACCCTGGATACCATGCACGCCAACCACTGCACACACGCATACACACTCACTAACTGTCTATGGCTATGGCGCATGGCCACTAACAACTAACTAGCCTATCACTAACTTCTGCCCACTTCGTCTTCGGGCCATCTGCAGACCTCCCTTGCACAAGACGCCCGAGCAGCGCTTCCGCAGAGCTTCCGCAGGAATGAAAATGGCTGGACGCAGCCTCTTGATTTATACTTCTGCGCAGCTCCGATTTGGCCTGTATTCTCTGGCCCCGGTACCCTTAGCCCCATATGGTACTTGCTGGACCGGACAGGGACTTTCTGGACACTTCCTCGACTGCACTACGACTCACCTACGACTCACTGCAGTCCTACTGAGGTCTACCAGTTGACTTCGACAGATGTCACAGTCCTACGGCGCAAGTAGACTTAGCTACACCACTTGCCCACTGGTCGACCTTCTAGAAGACCTCTGGACCCTACTTCGATTTTTGCCCTACAGGTCTGTGGTTCGAATCCCTTACTTCTCTGGTGCCGACGATGACCTACCTGCAAGTGGCTATCCTACAGGTCACAGGTTCAAGTCCTACATCTACACAGGTATTGTACACAGGTAAGTTGGGGAACTAGGGATCGAGCCCTGGGACCTACATCAGCTACTTCGAACTGGGGAATACCGTTTCAGGCATATAAGGAAAAAAAAAAAAAAAAAAAACCGGCACCGACGAGCCTCCCCCAGTTAGTGCACCCATGAACCATTGAAAATTGAAATACAGACCTGAGTTCAAAATTCAATCCTTGATGATGAATAGAATAAATCATTCTGTAGCAAAAATGTCAGCCTGGTCGGACATTTATACATCGCTGTTTGGGAGGGCATTAGTGATAAATGCTTCCATTTTCTCAATGTTATGGTATGTCGGAACGATATGGACTCCGCCATCACAGTCGCTTTACAAGCTTACGAGGATGGCAGCCGAGTACTTATGGACGACAAATCCGGATAAGACCAATTTTATATCAAAAGTGGCCTGGAGGCAAGTTATTCAATCAAAGGATCAAGGGGGGTTGGGCATTTTGGATCCCGCCCAACAGATTAGAGCACTTCAAACCAAATGTATCAAATTATTTACACAACCCCATCTACGCTGGGTCCCCCTAGCATTAGAACACATACGGGGGATAGCGAGATACACAACTCCACCAAATATGGAGGGCACGTTCTGGTTATTCTGTAAAGGTTGGGCCAAGAAGGGAATAACAAGAGCGCAGGGGGGAGGGGAAAACGATGCCAGGTCTTCATATTGGGCCCACATCCTAAAGATATGGGCCGAAGTCTTCCCGGCAAGAGTAAGAGGCCCAAGAACGAAAGAGGAAGTTCTTAGACAGCCTTTGTTTTGTAACCCATGGTTGAAGGACTCTCAAGGAAAACCTAGAACACTGACAGCAAAGGACGCCAAGTGGGGGAATTGGTTGGAGCATGGGGTATGGCAGGTAAAGCATCTATGGTCACCAACTCACAATAGGTGAAAAACGGGTAGGGAAATGAGAGAGGAAATGAAAGGTTGTCACAGACTAACCGAAAATTTGAATGAAGTGCTTACCTCCATACCCCAAGCATGGACACAAATATTGAGGGGCCCGTTCAAATGGGGCCGGGGTGACTGGGCAACGTGGACCTCAAGCTCGGAACCAGATCATGCGTTCCGCATTCACCAGGAGGTGGGCCCAGCCAATCAGTGGCTGGAGGCAGACATGTATCCAATCCTGAACCCAGGCTTTATGGTTAGACTATTGGACAAAGAGACACGGGTTCCAATAGCCGTCAATAAAAGTCTCCTTACGAAAGTCAGGGTGATCGAGACTGACGAGTTCACAATTTTTGCTCCTACAACACCTATCCAAGATCTGGAAATTGATCCAGCACATTGGGCAAGGAACATCAAAGGGAATGGGTCAAGAGTAGTTAAGAGAGTTAACGTACTCCACTACACTACTAAATGGGGATATTGGTAAAGAAAGAGATCAACTAACAAGGATCAATCCCTAGCAATGAGATGGGAAAAGAGGGTAGGAATACCAAGACAGCAAATAGGAAAATTGCCGTGGTCGATTTTGCACAGCATCAGGCTGAATAAAGTCCGAAGTATGCAGTGGCTCATATTTCATGTCGCACTCCCAGTCAACACCTGGCTGTATGAAAAACGAAGCAGGAACAATAGAGATGTGAGTGAGCAAAACTGCGTCATGTGCACGGAAGGAGTACCTGAAACACTGCTTCACTGCCTTCTGCTCTGCCCAGAAGCGGAGTATATTTGGTCTATAGCTCGAACCCTGTGGGATCGCATCACGGAATTTTCATTCCCAAGGAGTAAAAGACTCCATCTCACAGGAACTGAAGTTCCATCAGGTTGGAACTCAAACCATAAGTGTATTTACCAGTTATTGAGACAATACACATTATGGACAATATGGAAAAGAAGATGCCAACAAGTGATAGGTAAAAGTCTGTCAACTAGAATGGAAGCTAGAGCAACACTACATAATCTGCTACAGACGGACATTATAGCTCAATGGCAGCGAGCCAAGAAACAGGCAGTGACTAACCCTGAAAAGGCGAAGGACATTCTTAACAAATTCTATACCAAAGTTTTGGCTGAAGGTAAAATAGCCACAATGGAGGGGCACAGGCTGATCTTCTGTTGGTTCAGGGAAGACCAACAAGACATGGCAAACGGACACCAGGGGCAGACAAAACAACTGGCTTCACCATGAACAAGGGAAGTCAAAGCTTAGAAAGGCGAAAGTCAAGAGCGAAGCGCAAACAAAGGATCACAGGTTAAGATAGAATCGCAAACGCCTGATCAGAGCAAGAAGCAAGGCAACTTTGGAAACTAATGGGATTGAGAGGAAGGGAAATGGTTCACAACAAAGGATCATTCCAGACGATTGGCAATGAGAAGAAAAGGAAGATGTCGGGTAAGGATACTACAAATTCATGAAGTCTGCAAAGTAATCAGACCTCTAGAGGAATACAGGTAGGTTTAAAGGCTTAAGGAAGTAGGGTTTAGGGTTTTAGGAGACAACATTCGGAAATCATTGCCAGAAATTCAAGCTTCGTCTTGCAAAAGTCAAAGGAATACAAATGTGATTATGGCATAGGGGAACAATAGGGACCACATTCCAATAAAAGGAGGGTGCTAAGGTAGTTTCATGATAGTCATGAGTTATATGACAGGTTATCATGGGTAATTTGAGAGGAAAGGACATAGAAAATAGGGGAGACAATACCAGTCTTTCTAGAAATTCATGTACGACATGGCAGGCTCTTACGGAAAGGTCCGAGAGGAAAGAATGTGCAGGATTTGCGAGGTCAACTGCCGGATGATGTAGAATAGGCTAACTTAGGCAGGGGGGAGGGGTGGTATATCCATCCTTAAGGAAGTAATCAATGCCGCCCACTCGGACCTTCCACCCATCATGGGGAGGAGCGTGTGTGAGTAACTTTTTGTAACCAATTATGACTTGCCGGGGGAATAGGAACCGGACTGTTGCTCCCCAGAATGGTAGGAGCCGGAACCGACAGGTTCTGTTTTTTCAACAAAAAAAAAAAAAGAAGAAGAATAAATCATTCTGAAATCTGAATTACCTAGGGCCGGTCCGATCAATGAAGATCTCCCAAGGCTGTTGCGCCTTCTTTTTTTTTTTTTTTTTTAAGAAAGAAAAGAAACGGCATGCAATGGCCAACTGATTCCTGCACATTGACATTACCTCTATCAACTTCATTCTCTGGAATTTGATGGCGATTGAAATTGATTTCTCTATACCCTCTTTCGACTTGGTCCCTGTTTTTTTAACTGAAGTCCCGCAAACCGATAGCTTCGCGGCCTCTACCTCCTTCTCTTTCTTCTCAATCCAGCCAACTGAATGGCTCTTTCCTCCTGTGCCTTTTTCTTTATTTGCGAGTACGCCTTTGAGGCTGTTCTTCCCTGATTGCCTAGGCTCACATGGCGAACCTTTTCGTCTTGGTGGCCTCGTTACAACTTCATCGGTCAGTTGTTGTTCCCCTCCTCCTCCTTCTTCCACACCGAAGCTCCTTTGCTGATGCTCTCCTTGCCTCAAAAGGCTTCTGAATGACTGCATGTCTCTTCTCTGCTTGGACTCAGGCCCTCGGGCATGTTTATCTTTCTCTGTGCTGCAGTCGTCGAAGCTTTCAGAACTCGAATTATTGACTCTGAAGCACCCCTGCTTAGCCAGCTGCTGCAGACTTTGTCCCCCAGTCTCGGCCCAGTTCACCGACCGGGACAGCGTTGCGACCTGGAAGCGTTGGGTTCGTAGGCTCATCCTGAAGGCTTGAATCCTTGATCCAAGGCTCGTCCTCTCTTCGCCATTGGATCGATCTTCACCTCGCCATAGCCGAGCAGTACTCTGCACTTCAACCGTTCCTCCCCTAGACTCCTCTGCTCCCACACCGCTTGGACCTTGTCCGTTGATTCCTGCCAGCCTAGCCCAAGGAGCACCTGGTCTTAGAGTACGCCCAGAGTCATTCCAAGGCGGTCCATTAGGCAAGGCATAGCCATTTCTGTTCTCATCTGCAGCCGGGAGAGATCGATGGGTAGGAGCACCGAGAGGGAGGAGTGCATTCAGTCGTGATTGAGATTGCGCAATCTTATCCATTATTACTGCAGCATCAGCTTCCCGATGGGAAAATTTCTCCTGTGAGTAGCAATGCACACTAAGTTAATGACTTGCCTTTGTATCTTCAATTACTCATTCAGACAGAAGTTACCTTTAATAGAAGTTATAGAACGAAGAAACGCTGTCAGCTGCAGCGAGCAAATCCTGATCCCATGGACCCAATAGTGCAATGACTGGTACTAGCATCCTAAACAGCAACCATCCCTGATGTTTTATTTCTTTATTTCTTTTTTTCTTTCTTTGATTTTTTTTCTCTTTTTTAACTGGCGATGGCCTAGAGATACCATCGTCGGACTGAGTAGCCCCCGGTACTTCAGAAACTCATTCATCTAGTTCCATAACTTCCATCTGGATCCGAACTCTAGTCTGTCTGTCAACAGTTCATGGGTGTGCGAACTCTGTGGACCTATGCTCAATGGTTCATTTCGCAGAAAGCTCATGTTACCCTTCTTCTGTGGGCCACTTGGGGAGCCAGACGCAGCCTGGGCGTCCCGACAGCGTCCAATTATATTTCTACTTCTGGCCTTTCTGGGTCCACATTGCAAGGCTTATGACACACAGGTTGTTGATGGTAGAACAGTAATTTCAAAGTTTTTTTCAAATAAAAGAAAAAGAAAAAAGAAGAAGAAGAAGAAGAAGAAGAAGAAGAAGAAAAGGAAGAAGAAGAACTCAACTTTTAGGGACTTCTATCCACGAAATTCATATGCGGCTGCCGCATGACGTGACACTGTCCTGCAAGACACTGCAGAAATTGCATGGACTCGGATGGCAGCCCAACAACCAGCTGGGCTTGTCTGCCAAGCAGCCGAAAACAATTGCTCCAAAAAAGAGATCGTGCAATGTGGAGATGTGCAGTGCAAAAGCAATTGTGGCGCGAGGCCCTGAAAAATTGCGCCCATTGGACACGCAAACACATGCAAAAGAGAGAGAGAGAGAGAGAGAGAGAGAGAGAGAGAGAGAGAGAGAGAGAGAGAGAGAGAGAGAGAGAGAGAG